AATCTCTTTTTAAATAAGAGTATTATAAAGCTTATACTAATCCTTAAGTTAATCTAAGAGATACTTAAGGCTTATTAAGATCTCTTAAAGTTAACTATACTTATTACTTTTACTTTAGCTTTTATATTACTTAGTTTATAGATAGAGAGGTTTAAATATTTTATTTAACTTAGTAAAGACTTACTAATCCTTATTAGTTAAAATATCCTTATTAAAGATATAATTATCTTTATTTTTAAACCTTAAAGAGTAATATATATAACTAGTAATCTAGCTATATTTAAGTAAAATATAGTAGATTATATTATATATTAAGTTCTATTAAGTAGTATTACTTAATATTAGATTTAGCTTTTATAATAACTCCTCTTATAAAATAAAAGTATACTTATTATTATTAGCCTTATTACTAATAGATAAAAAAGCTTCTAAGCGTTATAATAATAATCTAATATATTTAATAATATTTTAAAGCTTATTAATAGGTCCCTTAGTCTTCTAATAAGCTAAGTCCTCTTAGATCTTATTAGTATTAATAAGATAGTTAGACTTTTACTTAAATACCTCTTTATTAACCCTATAAATAATAGTATAACTAATAAGGTTAAGGATATAGCTATAATATTAAATTTAATAATACTAGGCGTCTATTTCTATATATAAATATAAAATAGATAAATATAAAGCTTTAATATAAATATTATTAGTATTAATATTATTAGAGATTATAATATTAATCTTATTAAGTAAGTATTAATCTCTTATAACTATATATATTATAGTAGTAATATTCTCATTAGAGTAGGTATTAAGCTAATAATAAAGACCTAAGGAATATTATATTTATTTACTTAACTAGTTAATAAAGTAGCTAAAGATAATAATAATAATATATTAATTAGGGGAGGTCTATAAGTTAAATAATATATAAACCTTTATAAGAGCTTTCTATATCTCCTACTTAATTTATTACTTCTTAGAGTTATAGAGTTATTAAAGTTAAGGCCCTAATCTTCTTATTGCTAGTCGCTAATAATCAGTCGCTAAGGTATATACGCGTAGCTGGATATATCCTAACGGCGCGCCTCTAGTTACTAGCATTAGCGATAAAAAGTACTTTTTTCTAGTGCTAGTAATTAAGCAATTTTTGGTCCTTATGGCTAAGTCTAAGCGTTTTCCGGCCTGTCTTAGTTACGGGCGTAAAAGAGGACTTTACACAAAATCATGACTAGGAAGTCACTATTCTGAACGGGTAAAGTGCCTGCATATACGAATAATTGGGGTAGTTATGCTGCTTCTAGCCTTGGTTACTGGCGACTGGCAACGAGAAGATTAGGGCTTAATCCCTCTAATTAGTTTTTAACTAATATATCTAAGCGTTAATATTATAATTAAATAAAGTAAATATATACTATATATACTAATTACTAAATATTATAAGAAGGTTATTAGTATTAATAAGGAAGCTTATAGCTAGCTTTTTAATCTATATAGTTTTCTACTTAAGTATAGTAATAGGGAGAGATTAATAGCGCTTAAATAGAGTACTAAAGTTATTAGAATTATTAGTAGATATATTACTAACTTTATAGGTATCTTAAAAGATAGAGTAATTATACTTAAAGTACTAAGTAAAGCTAGAAGTAGCTATAGCGTTAAATAATTAATTAAGAGTTCTTATTTTATTATAGTATTAGTAAACTTAATAAATACCCCCTCTTATACTATTAAGTATAATCTTAAAAATAAATATACCCTTATTAGTAATCTAAGAAGTATAACTTTAACTCCTTTTCTTTAAAATAGTATTAATATTAATAAACTATTAGCCTTTCTATATAGTATAAGGTAAAGCTTTAAGAATATTATGTATAGCTAGGTTAATAGTTAATATATTACTAGTAGTAGTAAATAATATATAAATCTAAGTAATAATCCTATAAAAAGATAACACTTTACACTTAATAAAGTAATTAATATATTAATTATAGGCTAGTAGAGGTATCTTAGTAATAAATAAGAGGTTAAAAAAGATATTAAGAAGTATATATAGGTAGGATTTTAAGGCGTAGTAGTAGTAGTAGTAGTAGTAGTAATAATAGTAATAATATTAGTAGTAATATTAAAAAAAGGTTATTTTTAAAAGCTAGTAAAGAGGTTAAAAAATAGGTTTTTTTAAGCCTTAATAAGGAGGCTAAAAATATATTAATCTAGTAGTATAGCAAAAAGTATATTTTTAGTACTTTTAGTACTTCTTAGTAGTACTAACTTTATTACTAAGAAGTATTTAGTCTTACTCTACTACTTATTAATATAAAAGTATTACTAAACTAGTATTAATAACTACTTACTTTTTTTTTTTTTAGAGATATATTATAATAAAACCTAATAAGCTAATAGTAAGTCTACTATATAGGGAATTATAGAGATATTAGTTTAAAACTAGCTTAAGTTATTAACTATAGTATAAAAGCTTAAAAAGTTATAACCTTAGGTTACTAAAAAAGAATATCTAGTTAACTTTTTTGTTTTTTATTAAATCTTTTAAAAATTCTAATTAGTCTAGAGGCTAGATTTTTATTCTTCTAGGTAATATCATCTTATTAAGCCTAATTAAGCTAATAGCACTATTAGCTTAATTAATTAACTATTTAAATAGCTTCAATTTAATTAGTTAATTAATTAATTAATTGATTCAGCTTGGTTGGTATGCTGCGCTGGTTCTGGCGTAAGCTGTAGCAATTAGTCTACAAGTTTCCAGAATTGTGATTGTTTATTTGATAAATGTGTTCGGACAGCGTATTAGCCAGACTTCTTGTCTCTGCGAATACGTTGCAGACGGTCGATCTCAGTCTTTTCCTGTTTCTTAATCAAAGGTTTGTATGAAGATGACCTATTTGAACGGGGAATGGACCCGCAACCATATCTCAGCTTCGCCAGTCTCTTCCAAATTGCGATGGTATCCATTCCCGATATACGTAGACACGCGTTTTAAAGGACCAGTCTCTCAGATCTCTCCATGACCGAATGTTCTAGTTCCGTCAATCCAGCGGTGTAGGCTCATGGAGGAAGAGATAATGCCGCACGCGTATTCCCAGGCTCCAGCTAGAAGGGGATTGCTATGAGTATGCTGTAGAGCCATTTGCGCGGGCAGGTTGACGCCCCGCGAGTGCTTCGCTCAAGAATCTTGGTTGATCCAAGTCCGATCCAAAGTACAAGACTTTGATTCTTCCCAGTTATAATACCGCCATCGGCGCTCGTACGGACTGAGATGTCGACATTGATCGGGACATTTAGAAGTATGTTCTCGCATGTGTCGCTGTATATCAAGGTGTGACCGACTGATACTGTGCCGTATCAAGCGTACGCAAAGCACGCATGCCCAATAGTCAATTCGATGTTTTGCCATGAGTCGCAAGAATTCGCGCCGTTCGTTTGTGGAAAGCGACGGCAGTCTGCGTGTTGGGTGGAATGTGTAGAATGTGTACTTGCAAACGAGAGCAAAGACTATCTGTGACTCCTTTGGCAGCTCGTCCCGGATGTGGTTCAAGATCTCCCACGGCATGTTTAGAAGAGTGGGTGTTTGAATAGAGTGCTTTCTCAGGTCTCCCTGCCGTAAAACTGGTAATGGCGTTTCCATAACAGACGCCACTGAGTATCCAAAGATAATTATTAGATAGACCGTGTGAAAGTAGATGGCTTAGGGATAGATTTAGGATACAGAAGAAAACGCATGCTGATACTGCTTATGATTTAAAGTTTTTATATTAGAGAAATAGAAAACCCTATATGAATACCTTGATAGATCGAACAGAACATCCACAGCAGGATTGATATCAAATATGTACGTATGGACCTTGAAGGTTGAAGACTCAAGATATAGGCAGCTGTTTAGACCATCAAGCTCTCAGTGCCTCACCCTAACCGCCCAGACCGTATGCTTTTTCGCCTTGTTTGTGATTTGCAAGTTACCTTCAATTGGGAATCAGAGAAGTGCTGCTGAAAGGCGACGGACCACTTGACTGAGACAAGTGACACTTTCACTCCAAAATGATGTGGCCTCGGCCTTGATGAATGAAATCAAGCACGTTCAGGGAACGAATTGATGACGCGATGATCAGCGGAGTGTTGAATTTGAGTGTCCTAACATAATTCTAGAAGTGAACGTTCAGTTATAGCCATGCATCATGAAAAGGGCCATCCAAATAGACAATGTGATGTGGCGGTGCTTTGAGTGAAGGCTCAACGAAGAGCGTTTAACTCACAGTATTGGACTATGCCTTGCTCCAGCTTGCCAGGCAGGGCATTTCCAGCGTTCAACTTCTAGGGTGTTCCATCAGGAGCCTAATGTTGATGTCTTCATGTTGACGAAAGTCAGAGTCTATGGCTCAGGAGCAGGGCGACGTTCCTCCTGCACTAGACCCACCCTGTTTTGAGGTGCTCCAGTTTAGTCTGAGTATGACATCGAAGACAGGTAGCTACGTGAGACCTTCATCAACTCATTCACGAGTTCATTTTACGAGCAAAATCCTTTAACTATCAAGATCCTATGCCGGTGAATGCAGGCGACATTTGGCGGCATGGCAGGGCGACTTCCAGGGCTAGCTGGACAGATCTGAAATGTCGCGAAGACGACGACGACGGCATCGAAGTGCTTCAAGAGGGACAAGAAGTACTTGACAGCATACATGGTTAGTAGGTGGATCGTCTACTCTCCATCGCCAGTGGCACAAGGACTCTCTGGCTGAATCGACAGACTTTTTGGACAGGAACTTCACGATAGAAAGATCTCATTCAACAGCGTGATGATCTGCTACTCCCAGATATTTCCCTAAAGCAGTTACTTTTCGATGCTATCTATCAAACTATACAAGTGCCTCTTTCAGGCGGGGTATCCGGTCTAAGTCTAAATCATTACCAGGACGGCGGCTCTATCCTGGCCACCGTCCATATTACCATTACGAGCTCCAAAAGAATCAAATGACGACGACATACGCATCTCAGTCGCTGTCTTCATCACGGCCGGGCCAGACAAGCTTCCTCCGCACCACCGCCCTGGCGCAGCAGAACCCGACAAAGAGCCACACCGCCACCAACAAAATCGTAAACACCGTCGCCAACCACAGCAGCCCCTCACTCCCGAACGCCTCGCCGATGCGGATGGTGGCCACCGTGAAGCCCACGTTGGGAAACACGAAACTCCACCAACTCAGATGGAACGAGTGGTCCGGCATGCCGAAGACGGTCGACAGGCAAGCCGACGAGAAGAACCAAAACGACAACCCCCAAAGGAAGACGGCGGTGAAGAGCGCGACGGCGCGGATGGCGAAGGCGACGGTGTTTGGGTTCTCCATCTCGGTGAGGTAGGCGGCGGAGCGCAGTGACGCCGGGACGAGGGAACCCTCGGACGCGATCAGGCGCGGGACGTCGGCGGCCATGGAGACGAGGGCGGCGGCGGTGAAGCTCGGCGGCCCGACGGCGATGAACATACCCGGCCGCTGGACGGGGAGGCCGACGGTCATGAGGCGGGAGAGGTATGTGGCGTACATGAAGGCGGAGACGAGGAAGCCGAGGCCCTGTGCGGCGAGGCCGGCGCCGAGCATGGCGGCGGCGTGGGCCGGGGGCTGGGAGCGGCACATGAAGCCGGCGAGGGTGCCGGTGAGCATGACGGGGAAGATGGGCAGGATCCAGGCGGGGGTCATGCTGTCGAGGGAGAGGCGGCGGCGGCCGGTGAAGAGGAGGTGGTACATGCCGACGGAGGCGAAGAAGGTGACGACGAGGTAGAGCCAGAAGGCGACGCGGAGGGTGGTGAGGAGCCAGGGCCCGCATTTGGGGACGGCGTAGTGCTGGATGTTGGAGAGGGCGGCGGCGAGGGAGAGGAAGAAGGTGGGGATGAAGAGGGACTCGGAGGGGTGTGTGATTGCCTTTGCGGGGGCCTTGCGGAAGAAGGAGAAGCGGAGGCAGAGGACGAGGGTGATGAGGAAGATGAGGAGGACGTCGAGGAGGAAGACGACGAGGCCGATGGTGTCGAGGCCGGTGAAGCGGTGGGGCGTCTCGGCGAGGAGGAGGGCGATGCCGCCGGTTGACATGCTGCGAGTGGGGGGTTAGCTCGGGGTCGTCGGGGCCGATGGGTTCGGAGCCGGCACCGGGGTGGGGGAGGGGAGGTCTCACGTTAGTGTGTACCATGCAAAGGTGAAGTGGTGGATGCGCTCGCGGAGTGAGACTTTCTCGAGGATCGTGTTTGTGCGGGAGCGGGTGCGCGAGATGGTCGCCATGAGGGCGTTTTGGGGCGGCGCATCCGAGTTGCCCTGGGCCACCGACCTGGTTGAGGTCTTGGACATGTCTGGGGGATTGTTAGTGAGGGTCGACTTTGAGTGAGGAGAATTCGATGGCGACTTACTTGCTTCTTCATCTACGACAGCCATGATGAGTGACGGAACACATTGAATGTGTGAATTATGTGAAGTTGTAATGAGTGCTGGTGAAGCTGAGGTGATGGTTTTGAGAAAAGTGGTAAGGTGAGGTTATCGACGTCACCGCGCTTGCACCAGTTTCGGGATGGGCCCTGTATTTGATGTGGGTTGGGACGGATGAGTCAGCTGCTGTGCTGTGGCGCCAAGGTGGGGGTCACGCCAGAGGGCAGGTAATGTTTGGGTGACGAGAAAGGGGCTCGTATGATGCTGTGCTATTTATCGAGCATACGACGTGGTCTGGGCTGGGGCTGTGGACGAATATTTGTAGGTTGGGCTGTCTTTTGGGCTCTTCATGGCCCATGGAAATAGACGGGAATTTGGGCGAGAAAAAAGTTAGATCGGCAGGCCATGGTTCGGTAGGCCCGATTGATCCCGGGCCGGAAAGGTGTGGCGTCGGCCTCGGCGCCGAGTGGTCGGGCGGGATTTCGCTTTGAGTGATGGTTTTGATGGGAGACGAGAAATCCATCTAGGTGAGTCTTCAAGCAATAGAAAAGTCATCCTCATGGATTATGATGATGGGTTGTCATAGTGTGATGATTCTACACAATGGCAGTCAAAACATGACATTGCGTCATCCAAAGCTCTAATAGATGCGGTTTCCAATTGAGCGTGCGCCCACATGCGATTCCCATCACATGAATTGCGACAGTCTAAAAACAGCGCCGACGATGCGACGATGACTTGCTGCCAGTGCTGCTTAAAATTTGGGGACGACCCGGCACTTGTTCGCGCCATGCCCAAGGTACGATAAAGTACCGGGCGTGCAAGACCCCTTTTTTTCTGGACCCTAGCTTTGTTCCATGGCGGCGACAGGATTTTTGACGGGAACGCAAGAATCCTTCCCGGGTGTCATGTGAGGTGTCTTTTGTTTCTTGGGATGGAACTTTCCAGGTGTCGGGTTACAGGCGCAGGCAGATCAGAGACAACGCGGCCTACCCTCCACCTCAGCACCTCACACCGATCGTGACACTGAAACACGGCTTGGCTGATGGTGGTTGAGGGAGGCAGCAGGCCTGGGTGCGAATTCCTGTGTAGTGTCCGAGATGGTGGCTGCGGATGATTGCGTCTTCTGCTGTCCGCCTTCGGCGAGCGGATTGGGATTGGGAACTCGGAGCTGGGAACGGGGAAATCCTAGGGACTCAAGGAGTGACAAGATGCGAGGAGCATTGGCCACAGTCAAGGTCCAGGTCCCAGGATCCATTGTCTTTCTGTCTGTCTGTCTGCCGGCAGTGTTCGGCCGGCTCCCCGCTCCGAGTCAGTGGGCAGAGGGTGGTCCGGTGAGGCCTGACTAATCAGTAGACGGTGGCCAGAGTCTGCTGGAGTGGTCGCAGATGCAGGTTTCAATGTTGATACAGAGTAAAGAGGAGGCGGACGATCCATCAAGACGTGGCTGGAGATGCAGGTAGCCGTGGCGGCGGCATGTTTGTTTTGTGCGGTGCGGAGTGAGGGTCGAGGGGCCGTTATCATTGTGTTGGTGGTGGCCATGGCCCATGATCGCGTGGGCTGCAAGGTGGTTGGCCCTGGTCGCAACGTGGGTAGAAGACAATGCGACGTGTTCTGGCGATCACGGGGCTGTTGGGGGAGGTGTTCGTCGGGAAGCGGATGTTGGTGGTTCATGCTGTGGGATGTGAGCGGACGGCCGGTTACTCGTACTCATTTGCGTTGTTTTCTCCCTGGTGACGCGGGCACATCATGGAGGAGACAACATGTTCTCCTGTCGGCCATGTTTGTCAACTGTGTTGAGGTCTAGAATGACTACAGAAGGTGCTTAATTGCTTGATTGCTTGCTGGCGAGAGCTTCATGTCGTTTGCTTGCTGCATGTCAGAGTGAGGTGTTGTTTGGTGATGGATGTGACGGGTTGGATCTCCTGCTTCCTCCAAGTGGAGAGCTTCCTGGTTCAGTAAATGTTGCAGCAAGTACCACCCATGTGTCTGCCTCGTTAAAACAGGTGGAAGCAACATGGAGGTACATCGCCATAGGAAAGCGGCTCGCTAGTGCGGAGGGAGGGAGCACTGGCCCTGCGCAGGTGCAGCAGCTGCCACTGCACCCGAGGAGAAAGTGGGAAGTCGCGGACGGCAGGTGGGGCGATTGAGGGAAAGGAAACTTGGGAAAGAGCAGGTGCACCCAGACAAGACAAGGCTGCCAAGAACGCGTACAGGTGGAAGGTGCTGTTCGTCACCACTTACTGCTGCTGCTGCGATGCTCCTGCTGCTCTGGGCGGGCTGCTTAAGCTTAGCGCGCACCGTCAGGGCAGGCAGCCGAGAGTGAGGTGGACCTTCCAACCTACCTTGGGTGGTGGGCACGAGGTCCCCCTCCCTCTTCATGTATCCCTACTGCAAAACACGGCTGCAGAATACATGGTCATCCAAAGCTCTATCTTATGTAATGCGGTTTCCTTGGGGGAGCTGACCTCACTCTTCCCAGCAAAGGTGAGGCCCAGGCTGCCCTCTGCTGCATCATCACTCCCACTGCCTGTGCCTGTGTCTGCACTGCACACTGCACACTGCATTGCACCTCTCTCCTCTGTCCCGCCTGCGCCTGTGTGTGTCGTTGTCTGTGGTTGTGCTGCTGCTCCATGTGTGTGTGTGTCCTCACCACAGTATTCCCGTCCCGCCTGCCTTACGTCCATCTTCTCCCGTCCACGCCCACGCCTGGCAGGCAAGGTATTTGACCAAAAGAACACCCGACCTCCAACATCACCTTTTTTTTTTTTTTTTTTTTCCCTCCTCTCCTTCTTTTCGTTGCATCCCCCACCGCCGCCCATTGCCTGCCCCATTTTGAGGCAGAGGGGAAACTGCATTGACCACATTCCATCTTTCCGCCGGTGATTGCATTTCCAATTGACCACCACAGGATTGTCAGCATCTCGACCTGTCCTGCCGGCCATCGTCGACGTGCTGCTCCGGATCAACGAACGCCCCGCGACCGACGACACCCCCGACCGACGTCCAGCTCTTTCCACTAGTTGGTGTGGAAGCGGGAGCTGGATACATCCTGCCTTGCTGCACCTGTGCGAACACAAGGTAGCTGCCACCACCGCTGCCGCCGCCGTCTGCCATTGCCCCTCCGCTCGGCCCTCCCCCATCATCTTCGTCGCCGTCGTCGTCTTCCTCGTCGTCGTCCGCCGTCCTCCTCAACATCGAGCGTAGACAGCATTACTACACAATTACACACACAATGGACGAGACGCCGGGGCCTCAGCCCTCCAACCACGCTGCTGCGCTGTCAGCCGCCTCGACAGCACACTTCCTGTCGAGCCACTTCGCCTCCGTCGACACCATCTCGCGGTCAAACTCCCCCGGCCCTCCCTACACCAAGACGGACGAGGACGACAAGAAGCGCTACCGTCCGCGCACCTTCAGCTACTTCAACCACCTGCCCTTCCCCGTCGAGAAGGAGGAGCAACGCGATGCCGCCCTCGCCGGTATTCTCAAGCATCTCTACATCGCCATCAAGGCCGAGGACTTCAGCCCAGGCGCACTGCACTGGACTAGAGAGCTGCAAGGATGGCTGAACCTCAAATTCGAGATGACGAGAGAGCTGCGCTCCACCTTGGCGAAGCTCTACTACCACCTCTGTCTGGCCCCTGGTTTGGACCCTAGCACCGCCGACCGTTTCTTGCGCATGGTCGTTGTGCTCACCAGGTGCGTCCATCGTCCTCCGTCGTTCTTCGGCGTCCTTCGTCGTCTCCGTCGTCCTCGTTGTCCCCGTCGCCCCTCGTCGTCTCCCGTTGTCTCTGTTGCTAACGTTCGTCATCACCAGGAAATACCACTACCTCAAGCCCGTAGACGACCTCCTGCTCGACTGGCGCCCGCTATGGAGAGAAATCAAGGCCCTCGTCCTGCCATCTGAAGTGGCCTCACATCAAACCAATCGACGTCGATCGCAGAAACAGCTATGGAAGTTATGTTTACACGCCCAGACATACTTCGACCCGAAAGACCGCAAGGAGATGCTCGACGAGTTCTTGCCCTACTTCAGCACATCCGACGTGTCTAACGCATACATCGTTGTCGGCACGATCAACGCCTTGCTGCCAACCGACGCGGCCCCCGAGAACGTCCCTTGTTCCCAGCCGCAGGAGTTCATGCCCACACTTTTCCACCTGTGGTCTTTGATTGCGCGTTCTAAGAGCTTCGACATCTTCTTTATCGACCTATACTCCCGCATGGCGAGGGACTTCCTGCAGTCGACCCACACTCCCTTCGACGCCCACGGCATCTTTACCCAGGAGCAGTCTGAGTGGATCTTCACGGCTGTTCTGCGCCTGACAGAGATCCCCGTTGGCCAGTCAAACTCTCCGTACTCGACGCTGGATTACTCGTCCGGTTTAGGTCTGTACCTGGAGAAGGACAAGAAGAAGTACCCGACGGCGTACATGATTGCCCGGTGGATCGTTTACTCTCTCTCGCCCAAGTGCCTGGAGCAGGAGAGTTCAATACTGGCCAGCTTGGAGGGTTTGCTTGAGGCCATTGACACCTTCTACCACCCGTCGAATGCCGGTTCTTGGACGACCTTCCTCGGCCAATTCACCGTCTATCTTACCGACATCTTTGTCTCTCGCTGGAACCGCGAGAAGAGTGGCGAGCTGGACACGCCCGAAGACCGCAGGATCACACCCGCTCTGAAGGCACGCTTCGTGACAGCTCTCAAGGAGGTCACATACATGGGTCTCTTCTCAAAGAGCAATAGAGTCGCTCACTACTACTACGCGTCTCTCCAGGGCCTGGCCTACCTGGAGCCCAATCTCATCTTGCCCGGCGCTCTGCAGCGATTCTACCCCAGCTTGCAGGGCTTGGTTGAAGTTCACCGTACTACTTCAAGTCTAAACGGCCTGCAGATGATCGCCAACGTCATGTCCAAGACCAAGGGCTTCCGATGCCACATCACAGCCCTCCTCGCCCTGGCCTTGCCCGGCATTGACGCCAACGACCTGGGAAAGACGCAGTAC